ATGTGTAATGACGGACAATAATTGTTGACGAAGTCGTTTAGCTTCGAATCTCGACATGACAGCTTCATGGATATCCGTGCATGTTCCATACCATTTTTCGATTTTGCCAGTATCTTTATTTCTCATACAAACAGCTCGTCCAAGCATCCATCGCCATTCTCCATCATGCTTTCTGCAACGGTATTCGGTGGTATAGGGATCGCCAGTCTCTAGACAATGCATCCAACGCTTCTTTGTCAACGCCATATCATCTGGATGGAATGGCAGTTTCCAACCCTCACCCAGAGATTCTTCAACGGTTAAACCCGTATAGTCATACCAACGCTGACTAAACCAGTCATGCATGCCATCGGGAGTGGTGGTCCAAATAAGCTGCGGCATACTATCACAGATTATTTGGAATCTCTGCTCATCAGCCTCTTTTATTTCGGCGATCTGTTGTGTCACAGCTGTGATATCCCTACAAGTAACAATACCAGCCAAAAACTCGCCAGTATCTGGATCTCGGACTGCTTCTCCTGCACAAAGGGTCAACTATATTTCGTATTGTTCTTCAGGGCCTCTTCATACCTAAACAATCATATAGAATCTTCTCTCCGGTGTCAGGGTCATACATCCCGAGCAAGCGGCTAGAAAATGGTGTTTGCGTTCTGACGAGAATTGAAATGGGATATTCTCCCGGATCTAGAGCCTCCGTGAAATCATGGTTATAGCAATGCCACTTCTGAACCAAATCGAATCCTATGGAATTGTTAGAATTGCAATTAAAACATCAAAAATTGCACCATCATACCGGTTTTAACGGTTGACATGTCGGCTTCCCTCGCAAACAGTCTCCTTGCAGCTTTATTCGGTATCGTCAAGCTTTCGTCCTTCCACATGGCCAGAATAGGAACTTCTGTGTTATCCAACAGTGCATCTTTTAACACAATTACTTTCTGTAAGATTGATGGGGCTCCTGATTTATTGACGCGAGATGGAGGACCCAAAGGTGGAAATGGGGAAGATGACATGGGTGCATTCGTAGGACTAGTAATCGCAGAAGAGCCACTAGATCCCTGACTTGAATCATGATTAGACCCATGTTCAGAGCTTGCGGATGATGGGTTTGAACGTGATAGAGAGCTCGAAGATTTGGAGCCATTACTAGAACCTATTGCAAACTTAGGGTTGTTAATCTTTCTCGAGCTTCGCTTCGGGCTAGGTGGTCCAGATTGATTAGTTTCTGTACTCGTGAAGGTCAAGAGGAAGTATTTTTCATCTTCGATCTCGAAAATACTAATGATCATCTTGGCATAAGAATCTGCATTCTGTTAGCTCGATATCCTTCGTACGACGTAGTGATCGCAGTGAATCTGGTAAATAGAAGAAGAATGATTCTGAGCTGATTGCACTGATATGACAATTCTGCTCAGAGTGTTCGAGAAAGTATTGGACATCAAAGCCAACATCCGATTGTCATGTTCAAATATTGAGCAGTAAAATGGTCTTCAGAAGAAGCTTGAAAATACACCCAAATGTATGGAGCAAAAATTGTCACAAGAATACTTACGTTTATCTGCCATTTTCTTAGCCGTCCGTCCTGCAAAAGTTGATGCTGTGATCGACCCAGCCGTGATGACAACTTCCACTACCGCATCATGAACCATGGATGTCTTCTTCTCAGCGTTCGTCACAAATCGATTCTGAGGATCGGCTCTTTCTGCAGTTGGTGTCACATCTCCTTCACATTCCGAAGACACCGTTTCTTGTGCATTGGCATGGACATTGATTTCGTCGCCCAGACTATCCAAGAACAAATCCCAGGTAACCCATACCGGCTTGAGATCTGACATCATGTCAATACCCAGTTGGGCAAGAGTTTGACCTTTGTATCGTTCCGCCGGTTGTTGGTCTTCTTCTGCTTCACTTTCGCCGTCATTTACACTCAGTAGCCTCGCTGAGGCTTCATTCGCGAGAACCACCGTTTTGGAGCCATCCAAGACAATTACAGGGTATGGCAGATAGTGCATAGCCGAAAATGCTACATCAGCAGATGAAACCATTCCCGGTATGTGTAGATGCAAATTGCTACTCTGACCGGATCCTCGTCGCCCATTCATGTATTCCTGGGCTTTCAAAGCATCCAGTCCGTCAATTTGCCCAGGAGGCATATGTAAAGGTGACATCGGTCGCTCATAGTCTGAAACTGGGGTGCCTTTCGCGGTTTCATTTGGCGATACCAAGGGAGGAGGGAGGTCGATGTGGGTAGGGTGGTTGTCGACGGCCATGATTGTATAGAGACTCGGCGCGATATTTGTTTGTGGTTTCTTTAAGGTATCCAAACTTCCCCCAATCTCGCGATCCCATTCAATATTCTCGTCGAGTGTATGTATTCACTCTTCGCAAATTCTTCGTGGTTTAACGCCGCTAAGACGTCATTTTTGTTGATGATAGTCGGTAGTAGAATAGGGATTTTGACGCTGTCGCCACGTCAATCTGAGACGATTATCAATTAATTTAATCGTGCACACAATTAGGCACCTAGGTATAGGGAGTGGTTTCGAAAAGATGATATTCGCAAAGACGGATAGATTAGATTGATAGGTAAATTCATTTGATCAAGGAGGAAAAAGGAAACAAAATTTCACATTTGAGTTTGTTCATTTGAGTTTGTTCGCTGGGTGGTTGGATGGCTGAATCCGGATTTTGCAAATGGACTAAAACGGCGTTAGAGCAAGCTTGATGCTTTTCAATCGACCTAGACTCGAGACTAGAAGCATTTGGAACGGAAGGAAAAAAATAGCGGAGAAAGAGAAATGGAGTAAAATATTTTATGGTATTTGATAATTTTCATTTGCTCGAGTAATGTGCATTTTGCCTTTGATCGACTGCGATTTGTTGAATATCCTTGTTGTGAATACCCAGTACATATCAATTCGGGTATACACTTCTGTGTTTCTGTCCGAGTGAAGTGAAGTCTGGAGTTGAAAAGCTCAAGTCAGATTAAAGTAAAGTTTGGTGATGGAGAGTGAAGCAATAAATGATTACCCACCTGCCTAGTACGTACCTGGAAAACCTAGACGCCTCGACAGACAATCTAGATTCTCGATCAAGAACTTTGTACTCACACTAAATCCCTTTACCTCATGTGAAGATAAAAAAGTGCCAATGTACTGCATAGTCAAGCGACTGTTGAACATATACATGTACATACACATACACATACACATACACATACACATACCTACCTACACATACACATACCTACCTACACATACACATACCTACCTACACATACACATACCTACCTACCTACCTCGGTGTATATGATTTCGGGTTTTACGAGAATTACTCAAGGTTTAATAAGGTTTGATTGTCAGATCCTTTTTCATCGTACTGCAAAGTCAGAGCGACTGATGAATGGATGTATGTGTGGGTAGGTATGTGTGGTGTAATACCGGTAGCTCGTGTTCCTTGACCCTCCTTGTCGAGTCGAAAGAAGCTATCAGTCTCTCGTGTCAGTCTTTCAAGCTATCAGTCTCTTATGTCAGTCTCTCAGTCTTTCAATCTCTTAGTCTCTCAGTCTCTCAGTCTATCAATCTCGTAGTCTCTTAGTCTCTCAGTCTTTCAGTCTCTCAGTTCCTCAGTCTCTCAGTCTTTCAGTTTCTCAGTCTTTCAGTCTCTCAGTCTCTCAGTCTCTCGATAATACCTAGGATAGCCTTTACGCTCTAATCAAGAGTGATAACTATACGAAAAGTCCTATCCCTTCACGTGCCCTTCTTTTCACCAGTTTTGCGTGCGGAGTATACACACCCTCCCGCAGAGCATTTGAAATTGATCCATGCAAGCAAGCATAAAGACATCGAATTTTTTAGTCGCCGGAAGGGTCTCAAAGAGGAGAGGGGCGGAGAGGGCCAAGAGGGTCAAGAGGGTCTAAGGCCCACAGTGCTGATCGGTCGGGTAATTATTTTGATTAATATTGTGTGGGTAGGAATCTGGAAATTTCAGCAGAGATGTGAATCATGTGACACTATGGACATCGGTATTGATGATCCTGTGGAGAAATCACTACCTAGTACCCGGTAGCTTGTCTATCATATCTAAATCTAATCTAGGTGTGAAGGGTATCTTCTCAAAGGTCCCCTCAAATTCCTGGTATACTGGGTACGTATTAGATAAGCAAGCACAAGCATTGAATGGACTTCCCAGATGAACATCGGATTTTATTTCCAATTCGATCCAAATTCGTGACAGGGACTGGAAATGTAGTGGGGGTTGGTGTAGCTTAGCTCGAGGTGGCGAGGTATATTTGTTATCCTTTACGAGGCACCGGTACCGGGGAATGTTCGTACCAGGATTACGGTGATGTGAATTATATGGATCATATGGATGATATAGATTATGAAAACTCTTAAATTCCTACATAGAAACCCAGTAGGTACATAGTAAGTGCTCGACTTGCGGAAGAGCCTAGGTGGATGATATTACCTAATACCTTACTTAATCTTGCGGCCTCTACCTCATGATTATGTCATCTCGATTTCACCTTGAGTGCACCTTGAGTGCGAGTTATCTCAATTTCGATAAGCAGTAGGACTTGTATCAACAACTAAAGTCACGCCAGGCACCAAAAATACAGGGACATGTTCCATGACATGGCATCGCTGCGAATATGTTGGTATTCAATACTCATTCTTCTTTACCATACTACACTCTCATTTTCCTTCATCCATCCTGTTTTCCAGTTGGCACTATGCATAATAATCAACCCACAAGAGCGAACTCGGTCAGCTAGCTATCTACCCAGTCAAAATCAAGAGGCTCAATGAACCATGTCCTTCGACTGATTGGACTATGTATTATCGTATCTAATCTGCCTTAGGATTAGGCTGCTATCTGCAACGTCTGCTTCTACAGTTACAGCCTTGCACACATTCGAAAGATAACATTTGCCATATTTTACTTTCACGACTGGCAAGTTGGGATCAGTTCTTTGGCCTCAAAGGCTCATCGTCAGCATGCCTCCATTCAGCTATGCTAGCTTAGCTCCACTTGATTCGAGCACTGTTCGCCTACTTTCTCTTATGCCCAGTAGAGACGAAACCGCTGCTCTACAAGGCCAACTTCACAACTATCCTCTCCAAGAGTCGGACAAGGAAACCCATTTATACGAAGCTTTGTCGTACGTATGGGGTGGCTTCGATGATCCTCCACATTGTATCTATATAAATGGGAATTCTCTCTCCATCACAGCAAATCTGCATGCAGCCTTGCTACGTCTTCGAAATCACACTCTTGAACGAGTCATATGGGTAGATGCTCTCTGCATCAATCAGCAAGTTGATCAAGAGAAAGGTCTTCAGATTCAATTGATGCCGAGGATCTATGGCCAAGCAACCCAAGTCATTGTTTATTTCGGAGAAGCTGCAGATGATAGTGATATGGCTCTTGAGAGCATACGAGTTGCAGCAGATGATGAGAACGAAAAGCCCAGAAATTCGTTGGCCAGCAAAAGGAACCAAGAGTCAATCCTCAGGTTGCTTAAAAGACCATGGTTTCAGCGCATCTGGGTATGTAAATTTCCAATTAACGACATATTTGAAAGTGGAAACTGAGAGTAGCGAACTATTCGAGGAAGTCCCCATTATTTCAAGGTGTTTTGTTTGTTTGGATGTACCGAATTATTCCAACGGTCTCAACATTCCAAATATTCTGACTGTTCCGAGTCAACCGAAGATCCCAATTAGTTTAGATTTTCCAGATTGGTTAGATATCTGAGTTCCTCTGAATCTCCTGAGTGGTTTGAATTTCGAAAGTGGTTTAATCATAAAAAAAACACCATTGAAAGACATCGAGGGACTTCAATTGTTGGAAACTTCCACGATGGAGGAATACTCGAAGAAGCTAACAGGAAAATTTGTAGGTTCTCCAAGAGGTCGGCTTGGCTCGAAGTATCTTGATTATCTGTGGTTCAGTGGAGATGAACGGATATGCGTTCTGCTCGGGTGTTAGCAAACTGGAAAGTTCACTCAAAGATTATTCAGATTTACAAAGTTTGATCCGCCCAACGATCCACTTGATAAGAGGATCAATTTTCCGTCCAAAGTACAACTCGAGTTCACTAGGCGATCTCTCTCTAGGTGAGCTGATCGATATGTATCATAATCACAAGGCCACCGTACGTCATGATAAGGTGTATGCCTTACTTGGTATGTGCTCTGATCATTTGAGCTCGACTGGCTTATTACCCGATTACACGATTCCATGGGAGACACTTTTTCGACGGCTTATCAATTTCATCCTTCACGAAAATATGTCTATAGAGGCTTGGGATGACAGGGAGGCGGCGGTAATCAAGAGTAGTGGTTATGTTCTAGGACATGTATCCTCGATAAGGAATGGCATAAATCGACATCCTGGACAGTACGTAGAAGTTACATTCAACAACAGACCAATATCGTTTCAGTACTACAAGAATTATGGGGCACATTGGATACTCCAGGCTTCTGCACAATCCATTCGAAAAAATGATATTGTTTGCCTTCTAGAAGGAGCTTCGAACCCAACTATTATTAGAGCATTCGAAGATCATTTTGGTATCATCATGATTGCAGTCAATCTACGCCAACAAACACATCAACGTAGCTCATTTCAATTGTCTATGTCTTCGACACCTGATTACTCGCATGAATTTTTACTTGTGTGGCAATGGGGATTAATTCCGGGAGAGCATTCTTCGTCACTCCAGTTACCACAAATGGAGATCAATTCCGTAGTTCCGGACTATTTGAAGACCAATACGATCAAAGCAATGAGATCATTTGAAGTGGCACTGATTCTAAAAGACACTGGGGACCTTCTTATGGCAGAAGCTAAGCTTAAAAAAGATATCGGAAAATGCGAGGAATTGCTTGGAATAGACGATATACATATTTTATCATTACAAGAGGCACTCGCGTCAGTATACTTGAGCTCTAATCGGTGGAAGATGGCCGAGAACCTGCTTTTGGAGGTGATAAGGAACAGACAAGATCTCCAAGGCAAATGTCATCAAGATACTTTAAATAGTAAAATGGAACTTGCAAAGGCTTATATAGACGAAGAAGTCCTTTCCAGGCCGTCCAGAGCCGAACTGTTGCGGGGTTTCAGGACAGAATTGTTGGAAGCAATCAAAAGTAATAGTCGAATTGAAGAAAGGATCATGGTACAAGCAGCAGAGTACCTCGATGAAAGAGTGTTTAAACTTTTGCTAGGCCTCCAAAGGGATAACGTTTCAGTCACAGAAAATCTAGTGAAGGCCATATCCAGAAGCATGAGAGATGATGGGAAGATGGTTATTCTCTTGGAGGAAAGAGCAATGGACAGCGAGGTTACAGAAGAGATGGTACAATTCATCGCCAAGAATTGTGGCCGGAATGCAACGAAGTCGTTGATACAGAAACGCAGGGCTGATGTGAAGATTACATGCGAATTGTTGAACGCGGTCGCGAAAGGATGGGAAGCTGTCGAAAGGATGGCACTGCTGCTCGATGGAAGAGGCGCGGATATATGTGTTGATAGCGGATTGTTGGCAACTGTCGCGCGATGGCATTATCCGAATATCCCCGCGATCATGAAGCTAATGCTAAAAAAGCGAGGGGCAAATATAGCCATTACAGAGGAAACTGTGCTCGCAGCAGTAGGGAATATATATCATGGGAGAACGATTGTTAAAGAGTTATTTGCACAACAAGGGGCGAATATAGTCATTACTGAGAGAATGGTGACCGCAGCAATGGAGAATATAAATCACAGGGAAACAATCATTAAAGAGTTATTTGCACAACAAAGGGCGGATTTAGCTATGAGAGAGAAAATCTTAATCACGGTAGTAGGGAATGTAGATCATGGGAATCTAATTCTTCGAAAATTATTTGAAGAACAAGAGGTGAATATAGTCATTACAGAGAAAATTGTGATTGCAGCTATAAGGAATATGTACCATGGGCCAAATATGATCTACTTCTTACTTGAAAAGCGAGCAGCAGATATCAATATCACACCAGAGGTCATGAAAGCATTATCAAGAAACCAAGCGAATATGGGGGAGTCAGAATGGATGTTGAGACAGCGATCTTCTCTAATGATGCATTTATTTGAGAAGCGAGGAGCATATATGGACGTTACAGAGGAAACGGTGAGGATTATTACAAATGAAATGGAATTTCCGGAAGAATCTCTCGCGCTATTGATTGAAAAGCAAGGAGAAAAATTGAGAGTTACGGAAGGAATGGTGAGAATGGTTGAAGAGAAACTCCCCGAGAAGGTCGCCCTGTTGAACAGGATGAAGGACAATATTCAGAAATATAGCAGTGGTAGTACTAGTAGCACAGGCTACCAAGCCATTTATTGAAGCTTTCACATGTCAGATTCTCGGGTTAGATGTATTAAGTTGGGAAAAGATGAATGAATTTCTGTGTACCTATGCTTATGGATGGATACTTATCGTGTGAACTATGAACTTTGAATTGTGAGATGTAGGTATGACTATGGAGGTAGATATCGCAAGCAAGCAAGCAAGTAAACAGGGAACTCCAAAAAAACACAGTCATTGAGAAATACGTGGCGTCAGTCATTAATTGAATTGGGTTTGAAGGAAATGCCGATTGAATCCGTATGCGCTACATATTGCATGCATAAAACCTGGGAATAAAGTATGAGAAAAATTCCTTTCCAGTCCTGACTCTTCCGCCTTTGCTCTCTTCCGATTTCTTCCCCAGTCATTCTACTGTATGTAGATATCCTTGTATCGATCGACTTCCTCTCTCCTTCCTTTCTCCCCTGTCACGCTTCCCTTGCACATCTCCCCATCCTATCTGACCCAATTAGAAAATCCAAGTGAAAGACTCCTTGACTTCAAACGAGGTTTTTTGTCTACACATAAACCGAATATCATTAGCACACGTACTCACAGAATATCCAAACAACGACACAAGCAAAATAGAGAATCCACATACCTGATGTCTTCCGCACTAGCGCCAACCCAAGCCTCAAACTCGCCCTCCTCAGCAATCCACAGCCCTTTCCCATTTCTCAACGATTCATCCCAGTATCCTACTGCGTATTTATCAATTACAACATCGACGCTTTTTTCTTCTCCAGCTTCAAGCTCTACCTTTGCGAACCCTCTCAGTTCTTTTTCCGGTCGAACTAGGCGGCTCTTCACATCGTGGATATAAAGTTGTACTATTTCCTTTCCTTTCCTAGATCCCGTGTTTTTGATGTTGAGACTTAGGGTGATTTTATCTCGATTTGAGGAAGAGAGTGTTTGGGATGAGAGCGTAGGAGCAGAGTAAGAAAATGTGGTGTAAGAGAGACCGTGACCGAAAGGGAAGAGAGGGGGAAGAGATAGATGGTCATAATGTCGATAGCCGATGTAGAGACCTTCGCCATAGAGAGAACGGAGGTTTTCGCCGGGCCAGGTGTGGTAGGTTGGATTATCTGAGAGGCGGACTGGGAAGGTTGTCTATACAGGGGAACGATCAGATGAATTTTTGGGTATGTAGGAAGGTAGAGACATAAAAAAGAAAGATGCAACGTATCGAATGGATACAAAACTTACAGGTAGTTTTCCACTAGGATTTTCGAAACCGAAAAGAACATCAGCCAATGCGTTACCAGCTTCTTGTCCCTGATACCACGCTTGTAAAATGGCTGGAACCTTCTTTGCCCAAGGCATCGTTACAGGGCTTCCGGATTGATTGACCACAATTGTATTTGGGTTCGCCTCCACAACCGCATCAATTAATCGATCCTGACTTCCATCACTCGGTAAATCCATAGTTTGACGATCATAACCCTCACTTTCCCACTCCGCATCCAATCCTACGATTACGATCGCTACATCAGAGGACTTTGCCGCATCAATAGCTTTTTGCAAATAATTCTCAGCATCGGCTTCTTTGTAACCAATACGACAGCCGCCCGTTGCATGGGTTTGATTGACTTGTGCTTGTTTGGACAATGGTCGAATTTCATTTGTTGTTTCAGCGACCAATTGTACTGGAACATTGGCTTCGAGAAAGATATCAAAGAGAATATCTTTTGACCCTGAGAACATAGCTTCACCCAAATCCGTCCAATTCCACAAATCGACTTTGACATCTCCATTTACAAGAAGTCTTCCAGGACCGACACTTGAGAAGGAGAGGGTATGTAAGCCGGTGGTGGTAGGTGTCAAGATGGTTTTTGCGCGGACGGACCAGATGGGATTTACCTCTTCTGGAACCGAATCCCAAAGGAAGAGATCTGTGTTGGTGCGGTGTTGAATTATTCGAGGGGTTCCTTCAAATTTATCGCCAATGTGAAATTCGAGAGTTACGCCTTGGGCGCCAGTGGAAGTGGTACAGTAGTCTGCTGCTAGAGGAAGCCATTTGTAGGTATGACAACCTAAGGCGTAAGTGACATCTATTCCCGGGATTGCTTTGATGCTATCAAGGGGAATGGTGTTGTAGTAAGGATTCAAACTAGCACTACCTCCACCCCCTGCAATCGCGCGATTGGCATTTGGTCCTATGACCGCAACCTTCGTTTGAGAGGATTTAATTGGTAAGATATTATTCTCGTTTTTGAGTAGGGTTAATCCTTCTACCCCAGCCTGACGAATCAAATTTCTAGTTTCTTCTCTATTGTCCTCAGCTTCAGGGGCTTCGGGTGTCATGTCTGATCCTTTTGTCCGTTCAACGAGATACAGCACGTTTGCGGCGGCTTTCTCAACGGCTTCTCGGCTTAGTTCACCATTTCTGATTGCTTCGATCGCCTTTTCGCCACGCCATTTTGTTGAGACTGGCATTTCTATGTCGCAACCTGCTTCGATGGATTCCGCAATTGAGTTTGTTCCACCCCAATCGGACATAACCAAACTAGATTTTGTGAGTACACTTGTATGCCATGAAAGGTTGGAGACAATATTACCCATCATAGCTCCACTCTTCCCTTAAGATTTCCTTCAGCGTGTGGAAATTACAATCTGCATGAACGCCATTGATCAAATTATAGGAGGACATGACAGCCCAAGGATTAGCTTCCCGAATGGCCATCTCGAAAGGTCGTAAATATAACTCTCGCAGAGGCCTTTCTTGCACAATAGAATCAATGGTTAATCTGAAGGTCTCTTGTTCATTAGCAACGAAATCTGTGTACACAGTCAGCCAAATGCACGTGACGAAGCCATAGAGAGGAATGGTTTTACGTTTTATAGTTGCAGCAATACCCTTCTCCTGCAACCCCTTGATATAAGCGATGGCGAGTTTTCCCGTCAGATAAGGATCTTCTGAGAAAGATTCGAAGTTTCTTCCACCTAATGGACCTCGATGTAAACAGACTGTCGGTGCCAATAAAACCTGAGCAGATCGAGCTTTCGTTTCATCTGCGAGGTGTTGTCCGACTTCATGAATAAGATCGGTGTTCCATGTTGCTGCTAGCGATATACCGCATGGAAACAATGCGGCCTGGAAATATTAGAAAGTTCCTCTTAGTGGAGGTAATTCGAGCAAACCTTTGTTCCAGCCTTGAAAATGGCTCCACGAGCACCTATAGTTGGCGTTAGTACTAATGTGAGATGAAAGTATAAAGAAATTCTGTATTGTACGGGCGAATGTGAGGGATTACGAATACTTAGGAGAACATGAATATTTACCATTTGGGCCATCGGATGTCTTGAATGCTGGTACGCCTTTGGAAGGAATCGACTTCGATCTCCAGAAATCTGCAGCCACTAGTAGAGAGACCTGAGAAGTTCATCAGTAGGGTGCAGTTAACAAAGCAAAGGAGCTTTACCTGCTCTTCAAGCGACAAGGACGCAGCCAGCTGACGAGATTTTGTTCGAGGATCAAGTACAGCGTGTTTTTCCAAAGGACTTTCGGGAGGGGATAATTCAGAATCTGGTGTTGCAATTGTGTCTCTACTCGAGAGGATGTCCGACCCTTCTTCGAACCTGTCAAATATAGGATCCGACATCTGACTGTCTGGTGATTCTGCCATTTTGGCGTTTCACTTAAACGATTGAAGAGGATTTATGAAAATGGAAAATTGTACAGTAAAGTGCTCTCGGGATATCAACGAATGGATGAAGAATTGATTGATGCTAGCGTGCGGCGAGGCAGAGAAGTTGCGCGGCGTGTCTAATGAACAATGAATTCTCCGGATATCAAAGAAGAGGTAGAATGACTAGATGGAATGGAACCAAGAGATGTCTTATAGAGCTCAACGCTAGAGGAGTACGCGAGAAGCAACCTACGTTGCATATCAACTCGGTATCAATCTTTCCAGAGACCGACACCCGATCAGCTGGTTTCAATTAATATTCCTCATAGCCAGTGCCCTGCGGATGAGTTTCCCATGCGCCGCACAGGGAATCAGATAAGACGTTATCAAATATTACGAATAAAACATGGATACACTTGCCCCATGCATGAAAATGGCTGAAATAGTATTTGACATGGATTCGGTACAATGGCTGCTACAGGCTGGTGCTATTCTTACAACCCTGCATACCTTGCAAGGGATTGTTGGTGCGAATGGTCCTTGTGAGAATAAGCTTCTATCAGATCAATGATAATTTTGCTCAGTCCTGGGCAAGAAATAATCGTCAATCCAATAGCAACAACGGTATGAACGGACCGGCTCAGCGATTTTCTTACAGTTTAGGAAGGTAAGACAAGCTGTTCCAATGGTTTTCGTGAGAGACACTAACGGAAATCACCTTGCCATACTGGCAGAATGTAGGGAATCATAGTGGAGAAAGGAAACAGTAAAGAAGTTCTATCAACTCGAGCAAATACTACACATCCTCGCCAAAATTTCAGCTTGAAATGAGTATCAGGAGGCAATATGCAGAGATCTCGCCTAGGCAATGTAGTGTATTCACTTAGGTGGTATTGTCACGTCTTTCTTCGAAAAGCTCCCAGAACACTGCATTAAAAGCCGATGGCGATGAATACTCTGTTGAGATGCGTCTGCATCTGTAAAGCGGACATGCGGGCCGGATTCGCCTCCAATGAGCTTTCGTTTGCACCATAAGCACGATCGTAGATTTGGGGATGTATAGATACGATCCGACACCTATATTGACCACTCGGAAATGTATTGATACTCACGACGGATAAGTTCTGTGTAGATCTCAATATTATGGTGGCTTTGTTGTCTGAATTTCATATGCCGACGTCGAGGCTGTGAGAGTGTGGGAAGTTGAATTAACAACGATGTAAAGACAATACTCGGGCAAACGCTTGGACTAACCAGTTATGGATAAGTTCTAGAAGCATTGGAACTCAAGTCATGTGATCGTCCGTATCAATTAGCGCCGCAGTGGAGATCCATTATCATTACCTATTCGGACTACTCGGCAATCTGCCCGCTTCAGATAATCAGAATCATGTCTCTCACCGCGATGGCATTATCAATTGTTATCTTGAAGCGTACTTTGACATACTCTTATACACCTCAAACTTCATCTCAAGTGATACTTGTACTCTCATCGGAAAGACAGAAGTGAAAAAAGGGTGCTTTATTTCTCTGCTTCAAGATTACTTACTCAGTTACAACTAACAGTAATACTCAGGTATAATATCAACTACCTATGATCCTATTTTCACATCTGAAACTTTCCTCTTTAAATCTGTCTATTTTTTCTATCTATGCAAGATCTCTACAGTTCGTGAAACTTAACTACCATACATTGTTCTAGTATCTGCATATCATCTTGCATTTACGCCTTCCGAGTATAATGGCTGAAACATCGAACCATCATCAATCTATTGGAGAACCCGAAGACCCACTCGAATCATCCTCACGAGAAAGAGATCAATGGGAATCTACTGAACTTTCAGAATTGGAACACATCAGGCAGAATTATACTCGCGCCTCGTCTACTCATGCATTGGGTCCTGGTAGTACAGCACCCAATGGATTTTTTGGTCAATTGGCCTTTAATGTCTCGAAGTTTTGGAGACACCAAGTCAGTGTGACCGTTGACCATGTTACATGTAGAGATCATCTCGGTATGTATCCTTTTATCCGTTTTCTTAATATGGTTCACACAATCTATCAATGACAAGGTATATTACCTATTGTAGAATCCGGCGTTCAGGGCCGAAATACTTCTATTAGCTGGGAGTTTATTTTCATCCATCTTCTTCCAGTCCTCTCTGCATCAAGTTTTCTGTCAGAATTCTTTTATTGAGCCTTGGCATTCTGTACTGTCTCTACCCAGTAGTTCTTGCTTCCGTATAGTAATAATCGTCTGCTCTACATGTTTCCCGGTTAGCGTTTCGTAGACGAACTTATTGGCTAATTCTATCAGCTCTCGAACGCACTTTCTTAGCATATCTCAGAACCTCACTAGCCTTGTCAATGTTAGGCGTATCAATTGCGCAACTATTGTATGTTTTCTATGCAGCTTAATCATACCGCGATCATTTTATTGATACATATCCAGCCGGTTACAGCATTCCCCCACACCGAATCCATTGATAGGGTTCTTCGTACTTGGGAAACCTCTGGCTTGTATATGTCAAGGTGCTGCAATAACAACTTTATTGGTAGGAAGTATCAGAAGTTGGAGACATCAAAATGCTATTGTGAGGGGCAAAGCTCTTTCAGGAGGATTTGAAATCATTATCATCGGAGCTGGATTCTTCTTTGTGAGTAAAACTTCAACAGTATTGTCGTTGAGTGAGCGTTACTAACTAGAATTAGATTTTCCTAGCGTTCCTAGTGCTCTTGATTGCTGTGGACATCATAAAAGAACATTTGAAGTCCGATTAAGTGGCGATGTTCATTAGCTGACCTTTGAACTATCGAAATGTGATGGACAAATGACCTCTACTTCGGACTCTCCGGATTATTATTTCCTTGGAGCAAACCATTATAAGTCTGCCCATCTGACTTCGGTTTATCGGGGGAATCGGGGAGGTATATATTAACAGCCAAGAACATCCCGCTGTTGCACGTGCTTGAACTATACTGGGAGGAGAGGAGTATGGCTGATTCTGCTCTTAGGCACTAACTGCCGAACAACGGGAGTTAGATGAGCATAAAGTTAATGCTATTACACATGGGAAACTGTTCATGGGAAATTATTGATGGATAATTTCAATCTGCATATGTAGCAAAATAGCACAAGCTGCGGGGCATTTATAATATGCCCGGAGGTTGTGATGAGAATACCTGCATCCGGATGAGCAGTGTTTTCGGCACGGCGTTCCTTTTCTAACGATGTTTATACAAGGGAAGAAGTAGCGAACCATAACACAGAATAGAGACCCATTCCTTGATATGACAGCTCTCGCAGCACTTTGACTCATGAATTCGTCAAGCCTACTTTGCCAGCAAGCAAGTGTATGAATATTGGATTGCCATTGATACATTGCGGGTAATTTGAGTAATATTTTGTTATTGTTGTCTTGCGATTTCGCCTGGGGCATGGCTGACATCAATTCGGGACACTCCAATTGTTTTGCCCAAACAATCAAGTAATGATCTGACAGGATGTATCCCCAGCTACAACTATGCTATGGAAACAAATGCGATGGGTTTGTAACAGCCACTACTATCACCACTACCATCACCACTACCATCACCACTACCATCACCGCTACCATCACCACTACCATCACCACTACCATCACCGCTACCATCACCACTACCATCACCACTACCATCACCACTACCATCACCACTACCACCCACACCACCACCCACACCACCACCACTACCATATAACAACAACAATCACCAAAGACTAGGAAAGTATCGAAGAATCACGTGATCTATCATCACATGCATCTCGCACCCCAAGTTGGTTGCTATTGACATTTGTTGACATCCAATGATCTTCTCCATTGTCTCTTATCTTGGCGGCGATCTGTGTACGCCTCTACCTCCCTCCCTCCCTCCCTCCCTCCCTACCTAGGTATGCTCGAGGTATGTACCTGGTAATAATATATACTCCAAAGTACTGAGGCAGTGAGCCTTCAACTCAAGAGCCTTCACTCAAGTTTTACATCATCAATTATACTTTTTCTCGTTTGGACTTCTCTGACTTTTCTGACTTTTCTGCAATTTCTGACTTCTCCGACCAATTTTCTTCTGTTCCATATTGATCTATCTCTCGAGACTCTACGTAGTTACTTTTATTGATTTACTTACTCTTTTCATATCTTTCCTTTCTCTTTTCACTCGTACCATACCATATCGATTCGCAATCCCGATTTATTATTCATACCGTATTTCCCCCCTTTCTTTTCTTTTCTTTTCTAGCAAAACTCATTGCAGCTGGAAGACCGGTATTCATTGATCAGCAATAACCGCACTATTGGGGACGAAACACGCATTAGATACGCATTAGATAAATTGCGTAATAATCCCTTACCTTTCCCTTGTACCATACTTGAACAAAATCATAATTATTTGATAACGACTTGGTAAGGATCCGAAATCGCACACAAGCAAGCAAGAAATCTCCCAAAAATCGCGAGACACAAGAACAATACAATCAGAACCACAAGATATTGAAGGGAGGGGCGTCATCTCGAAATCATCGGGTACCACGCCACATTTCATTCCTACACTTCACGCTGTGCGATTACAAATACTTCAATAAATCCGCCCACTCTTTTCTCCCGTCCTTTCTTCTTCCAACAACATACTGGTAAAGCGACAGACAGAGAGAAAAGAGTTCACACTCTCTAAATCCTTCACAGATGGCGTGGTCAAAGTCAACGCGCATTCTGGTCATGCTATTGATCGATGCGGTATTTTTCATCGTAGAATTGGGTGTCGGTTTATGGGTTGGATCATTGGCATTAATGGCAGATGCCTTTCACATGGTGAGTAGCTGAGAAAAGGGTAAGAAGTGTATTGATACTAACATCTACATAGCTGAACGATATTATCTCTCTCGCGGTTGGACTTTGGGCTGTTAAAGCTGCGCGAAGAAATACCACGGATAAATATTCTTTTGGAGTAAGTCGTCGCACAATATACCCCAACCTTTACCGAACGGAAAGCTACATTACCAAGGCTGGAAACTAACAACGTATTTAGTTTTTAAGAGCAGAAATCCTTGGCGCCTTTTTCAACGCCGTCTTCCTTATTGCGCTTTGCGTATCCATTGTTCTCGAAGCTGTCGGACGTTTCTTCGATCCACCTGAGATTAGTGAGCCAAAACTTATACTTGTTGTTGGATCGTTGGGATTGGCATCGAATCTGGCTGGATTCTTCGTATTAGGTGGACATGGTCACTCTCATGGCCCAGGGGATGGACATTCTCATGATGAAATCGCCGATGCGGAAGAAGGACATGCGCATAGTCACAGTCATGCCCACGAAAGCAACTACGAAACATATAGAGATGAGGTCAACGAAGAAAGTGGAAATGCAGGCGAGGTTTTCCCCGAAGCTGTTGTAGCAAAAGCTACCGCCAAACGACAAGTACAATTTACCAAACCCGATGAAGATGCTTCGACAGCTCGCGATAGCAGCAGTATCATGACTAGATCGCCCAGCAGAAGTTCCAAACAACACTCTCATCGAAGACGAACGAGCAAGTCTCAATTCTCTAGTTTGGATAATCTAAGCATTCACCCGGCAAGTTTCCGTCAAGACATCATCGCTGCAAGCAAGACACAATTGGATGGAATTGAAAGCGAGGATTCCAGTGAACCAGATGACGACACCCATGCCAGATCCGGACCAGCACCAACTGAAAATAGTCCTCTTCTTTCGCACAACCACGACCATCACGCAGATACTCATGCTCATAGCCATGATCACGACAACGACGGCCATCATCATGAACATCGTTCGAGTCGCCAATCGAAGCATGCGGCGCATAATCACAACAACAAATCCAAGAAGAAGTCTGGTGGTCATGGTCACAACCATGATGATATGGGAATGAATGCTATGATCCTTCACGTTATTGGTGATGCTCTTGGAAATGTTGGAGTTATAGTCACTGCTTTGATCATCTGGTTGACTAACTGGCCTGGTCGTTTATATGCTGATCCTGCTGTATCACTCTTCATTACCATCATTATTCTCCGGTCTTGCATTCCATTGACCAAGGCTACCGCTCAAATCTTACTACAAGCTACACCAGATTCGATTGACGTCGCACTTATCAAAGAAGATATCGAAAATTTCGAGGCTGTGAAGGGCTGCCATCATGTCCACATTTGGCAACTTAGCGATTCCCAACTTGTTGCATCCATGCATATACAAGTTGCCTTTCCCATAGGGGAAGATGGCGGGGAAAAATACATGCAATTGGCAAAGGAGATTCGAGAATGCTTACACGGCCACGGTATCCACAGCGCGACTCTTCAACCCGAATTTTGTCTTGATAAAGATCATGACCATATCTTTGATGGTTCAGTCGGATTAGATGGACAAGTTCAAACCAAATGTGGGATGGAGGATGACGATTCATGTTTACTCGAATGTATCGATAATTGCAAGGGAAAGGGATGTTGTTCGACACAGGCAGTAGAGCCTCAACATGACCATTCAGACCATGATGGTCACTCTCATTAGATTTCTTTTAATATTTCCTTTGTTACGTATCTCTCGTCCCAACGAATCAGATACTCGCTTTTCGTGTACCTTTTAACTTGACTTGTTTCTTCTGTGGCATTGCAAATGGCATTTTGGGACGAATCGGGAGTGAAACGTACATACATATTTAGTCGATTGACTTGAGCCTTAATGATTGGTGCGAGAATTGCGATATGGCGTTTGGGGCAGGTCAATTGACTTATTTTTGCTGGGGAGAGATAAGAAAAGGTAGGAAGCAAATGGATATATCATCTATTTTTTCAGTACAAGACACGAGTGAAGACTCTTACAAGCGAGCTTCCTCGAATGAGAAATTTTGGTCGGAATAAGTTTCGGAGGATCGATGGGAGGGACATTTTTTAATGGTGTCGAAAAATAATAGGCGGAAGAGAAAACCTTTGTACAGTACATGTGAGTAGTAGGGTAAAAAAGTTTCTTGGGTGGTTGTTGGGTTGGGGTAGGTGATACGATATGATACGTTGGAGATGGAGATGGGGTCGATGAGCAATACAATTGATGATTTTATAGACCTTGGGATTTATGTGCAGTGCAGTCAATATAGTCCATCGTTGCCGATTCTGAATATTTTTGTATCGTTTTAGTGAAGGGAGTGGAGTGGAGTGAGTAGAGTGGAATGCCAATTCATTGAAAGAGGTTAAAATGGAGATAGCTTCTCACATCCCTCGTTGTCCTACAGGAGGCTGTTGAGTTGAGTAAGGCTGCTTGTGCTCGTGCTTGTGCTCGTACTATTCAAGAACTGTCGGTGGGTATGTGATGACTTTGTGTTGGGTTATAGGGTGAATAGAGGTGACGATTCATGGAAATTGAGATGGGAAGATGGAGAGCTATCTTCTTTTGGGAAGGGGTGGCGTTGGGGAGGAGTTTGAGAGTTGGAGTTGGGAGTCCTTGAGTGGTTGGGGTTGCGGGTTTTGAGTGGATGGGCTTGGAAATAGTAGTGATGATGATGATGGTAATGGTAATGGTGATGGTGACGTGTATCGGCTTGTACTTTCAGTAGAGTTATTGTTATTGTCGTTACTGTGATGGAGATCACTTGTGAATCGTCTCGTCTTGCCACTTTTGTCACTTTTCTCCCTCGCTTTCTTCTTCCTTCCGTTTTCTTTTCATTGTTCTTTATTTTTATTTTTATATCCTATCATCTATTATATAAAGATATATTATGTTTGACTTGAAAAAAGGAATGGAATAGAATAAAATAAAATAAAATAAAATAAAATAAAATAAAATAAAATAAAATAAAATAAAATAAAATAAAATAAAATAAAATAAAATAAAATAAAATAAAATAAAATAAAATAAAATAAAATAAAATAAAATAAAATAAAATAAAATAAAATAAAATAAAATAAAATAAAATAAAATAAAATAAAATAAAATAAAATAAAATAAAATAAAATAAAATAAAATAAAATAAAATAAAATAAAATAAAATAAAATAAAATAAAATAAAATAAAATAAAATAAAATAAAATAAAATAAAATAAAATAAAATAAAATAAAATAAAATAAAATAAAATAAAATAAAATAAAATAAAATAAAGTAAAGCAAAATAAAGCAAAGTAAAGTAAAGTAAAGTAAAGTAAAGCAAAGTAAAGTAAAGTAAAGTAGAGAAAAGAAACTATTCCAAATTTGATATTTCATTCTCGATATATTATTCTTAAGTTAGATTCTCTCTCCCTTTTCCAACCTGCTGCTGTTTGCGATATCTTATGTTGTTTTTTATAACGAAGAAGCCAGGGGATAGGAGGTATTTTATACGTAGTGGAATTGGGAAGCTTAGGAGGGATTTGAGAGGGACTGGGGAGATCGCGTGGAATTAGTAGGATTGATGGACTGGATGGAGGAGGTTTGTGACAAGCTTCTGCGAGGGTTTGGAATGAGCTGGGCGGGGTGAGATAGAGGGATTGAGGCTATATCTCATCATCTCAGTTTCGGAATTGTTGAATTTGTCTATTGTACTCTCTTGTTGTAGTATATCTTTCATCTGTATGATGAGTGGTGGGTATTTTAGGGAATGTTTGTGGAGATGAGTATATAACACTGCGTTCCTCTTTCCTCCCCCCTTTTCCTTCCTTCTCGGGAATAGGGATGGAGTTCAAATCTAGCGCTGCTGTATGAGATTGAACTTGAGAGTACTGGTTGATTTTAGCTTGAAAGGGGAGGCCGTAGAGAAATTAGTGAATGAGTGGTATAGAGATGAATCTTCGTAGGAGTTGGGGGGAACGAGGTAGATAGGAGTTAATATTGTTATTTAGAAGGATTGTTGTCAGTTTCTCGATGATCCATCACTCCTGATTCTATATTGATTGCTACGTTCGTTATTTTCACTACCGTTCTTATAACTCTTCACTCATATACCACCTTTAAGAACCAAGAAAGTAACTTCTTTTATCCTCTCAACCTAGACTTCACATTGTATCTGTCTCATCAACGAAAAAAACTTCCATTGGCCAGAAGTGCCACATCATTCTCTTTTTGAAGTGGCGATCGGAGATTCTCTGTACATGTTGTAAAGAGAAGAGAGATATTATAATGGGGTAGTCCCGTGGAAAAGATAAGAAGAATATGTAGACAAGGGACGCATGGTATTCGAAGTGTATGGAGAGCGAGCAAGTACAAGGTAGGATGATGGAGAGTTGTACCATTTCACACAACTTGGTCATGAGAGTCTTTTGGGATCGAGGTATATAAACTTCTTCCTTTAGGTCATTGAATCATTAGATATGGAATCGTTCTTGATGAGCTTCTGTCAGGTGGTGAGTACTGATGGTATTTGAGAAACCTCATAAGTAGGGAGAGAAAAACTGGAAGACTTTTGTCGAGTTTGAACTTTGTTTTATCGGTATTTTTCGAATTCAATATCATCTCAAAGGAGTCTCCTTTAACAACGGAATATACAACATCTATTGTTACCGTCATACTTCTTGCCGCCTTCACAATTTCTTATATTGTTTTCATTGTCCATTCCACGGATATTTACCATACAAATAGCTTCTTCATCTTTCCATCTGTCTTCACCTTCCTCCATTACATTATGTATACGGAACGTGTATTTCCGTTCTAAGGATTCCACCATCTTTGAATCGCTTGGGCGCCTAGACACTCCGTCTGATATCTTTATGCTTTATGCTTTATTTCTTTGGAGATGGAGTAGTAAGTATATACTATAGATGATAATTAGTCATAACTGAAAGGTCAAACGGGCTTATGAAATTACAATGAATGGTGTAGTGTGGTGAATAAGCGCGAACAAATGAGTGTAAAGGAAAGAAGGAGAGGCTAAGATGATGTGAGAAAGACTTTCCTGGGCCTGAGTATAAAAGAACAAGTTAGGAGATAGATATCTTTCCATGAAAACTAGATATTCTGAATTCCATAACAACTAAGGGGTAGAGTCCGCACTCAAGAGCCAGTGAGTGTACTAAATATTTCAAGGGTTTCTATAATCGTCTGGTCACGGTTCAAGCCCGATTCTCGTCGTCGGAAGGACATCATCATTATGCTGCTTGATCAATATATGCATCAACAACCAATACCGTTAACGATGATACTGTTTTGGGTTCTAACAAAACAACCCATTTTTGAGCTCCGAGCTTGTGCCATTATTCCTTTTCGCATTGAGATGCCACACAAGCTTTAGATCGACAAATTGCTGGAGAACTACACCTCATGGATGATCTTGAGAGATTCCTGAACGCTTTATTTTGTTCCAGATAGACTTTGCACGGGGCACTATACTCTCGAGAAGAACGGCGTTGTATATGGAACTGATAAGCTTATGGACATCAGGAGAATACAAGGCAACGGCTGCTTTTACTCTAGCTTTTGCTGATATTCTATATGTATAAATACTGATAGTTCGTTATATCTAGCGGTTCATTGTCTATGAAACTATCTCGGAGCGAGACAACAAAAGGGGATGTAAGGAATAACTGAAAGAGTTTTGTCTATTATGACTGGGTTTCAATGGTATGATCGTTAGTGTGCACCACGTAGTTGATAGATGCATTATTTTTGTTGTCTCTTCTACCATGATACCCACCGCTGCTACTGGAGCTTCTATTTACATTATCAACCCATCCATAATTACTCGTTCTTACTGCCATTATACTTGAATGTCCACACGAAATCATCTTCCCATAATAAGTCAAAAGCCTTAGTCCTTTCACCTAGAATTGGCTTTCAGGTATCAACAGTCTTTGCTCTCTCCGTCTCAACCCCTTTTAGTGCAGTACCTTCTTGAGCTACATATATTGATCTGCAGCTTTTAAATCCGTCTCCTTTCTTATATATCCAAGAAATCTAGATTATTTAGCTTCACTCCTCACAGAAGATAAAAAAGTTTAAAACGTGCCCTCTATTTTCAACCGAGATTTCAACTTCTTCATCCGACAACGTTGCTCGCTATAGAATGTCGCCATACCCTCTGCTCATCCAAAGTCTAGTCTCAATTACAATCATTGGTTGGCGAAAGAAGCTTGCGGATATCCTATTCATCCTATTCATCCAAAGATCGATTTTCACAAAGAAGGAGTGTGAATTGTAGACATTGGCACCAGAACCGGATAAACATAATCATACATACATTTACTTCTTCCTTGAACTTGAACCGATCTCTTAGCCAGAATAAACCTCCTCAAGCCCAACAAAGATCCAACCCTCAATCAACTCGACAGCTTTGATATTCCAGCCGCTCAATACTCTCCGAAAGAATGTCTTTCAGAAAATGCGGACTTAGGTACCCACGATACTTTCAAGCCGTTTCCATAGGATATCCCAGGAACCTACGATGTGGTCCATGTAAGATTCGACGTGTGCCATTGCGATGTCAATGACGAGGATACGGAAGGTTTCCTTACAAACCTCATTTCATTGCTGACTGAGTAAGCATCGATCGAGAAAAAACACTAGACGTGTACAAAATCTGCCCAGAGCTAGAGGATTTCTGCAGGGGCTT